TACGCGGGCGCGGTAGTGGTGGAAAGGCTGAGAATGAGCAAGAATTGGCGGGACGAGTGAAATTAAGAAAGTGGCGTGTGGTGTGAGTTGGTGTGCGAGTGTGTTTGTATCTCATGGTGTGATGCTCGATTATGGGGTAAAAACTGCTAGGCATGGTATGGGACGTGCCCAAGTGGGTTTTGCTCTATAATCGGGGCACGCGCGCGGCGGTGATGTATTTCTGTGGCATACTGGCTGTGTGGTTGACTAACGTGCAGGGACGTGCGTGAGGAATTCCAGGTAGGGTCGCATGTGATTGTTAGTTTGGCTGATCATTGTGTGTTATGTGTGTTTTCGTCTGGCGGTACGTGAGTGCCTACGTGGGGTTTGGGGTTGTACACTTATTAAGATTCGTCTCACGATTGTATAACCGCCACTTTCAGACCCCCAGCCTTAGACCCGGGAAGTTTGCCTCCTCTTTTTGGAAGTTCGAGGAACCGCCTTTGGTGCCTGGTGGAATTACAGGTGAGTGTCCGGAGGCTCAAACCCGAAGAATCAGAAGCAGAGCGGAAGGGCGACCAGTAGGCTTTCCCTAGGATATTTTAGGGGTTGTGTAAATCGGGTTAACCCATAGGGAAGTTAAGTTAACCAGACCTTGATCTTTTGTTAAAACGGTGGCGGAGTATGTTCGTCTGTATTTATGTCTGTAATATGATGTTTGTATGTTTGGTGCTGTATGAAGATGTTGTTGTTTGATTGTTGTGGTGTTCTACCCCGTTGTCGTCATCTTTTTGTCAGGGGTTTTTATATCCGCTTCCGCATGTGGCTCTGATGTTTGGATTGGGTCGGCGACGTTCCTGGGACGTCGCATCATTTCGACCGGAGCAGGGGATGTCGCGAGCTCGTAGGGGTTCGGGGCGTAACATAATCAGCGAACTCATTCTGAGTTTCCTCAATAGTTCGCCTCATAGTAGAAAGTGCAACTAGTGTGAGCTCAGTTTGCTTTCTATCTTCAACGCGCTGCCTCGACATATCTATGACCTCCTCTCGAGATTGGTTAGCAACCTTGTTATGAAGAAGTTGAGCGGATGATGTCTCAACACCTATTATCTTCCGCCATCGATGCAGCTTGCTCGTCAGTAGTATTATCCGAGTTGGTGCGACTTCGAGTGCGTGGCATAGCACTCTCTCCACTTAACTCAATAGGGGTCCCACTGGGCGTGCCAAAAAGATGTTTCGCCGGTTTTATCTCGTCAAAAATCTTTCACCGAACGCTGCGTTTCGGATTTTATTAGAGGAGACCAAGGTCTTGAGCCAAGCTCAGATAGAGAATGTCAAATGCGTCTATTAAACCCAACTTGTGCCTTACAACTTAACTAGATAATACACCCAACTCAACAATACTAACAATAGGATGACACCTTGCAAATGCCAAGATCAAGCTATGTCGGAATCTAATCAATGACACAACCAGTACACAACATTACAATTCCAGGTACGCCAGAATCTAATCAATGACGTGCCCTGAGAGAATATGGCTGGACTCTAATCAACAGCTATATTCCAAGTACAACGCCGGAATCTAATCGACGACGTTAAACTGGTGGCACAACATTGGAATTTAATCAATAATGTTGGACATGATAAAGACTCTCGTCGGAATTCAATTTACGACGTGTAATCTAAAAGCTGTAACTATTACTACTCATATTGTGCCAAAAATAAAGATAGATAAGAGGTCTGTTGTCTTGTTCGGAGGTCCTTTCTACGTCGGAAATCCTTGAGTATTTATAGAGCAACCTGATAACTGTCGATCGGCTACTTCTTCTTGAAAGTTGTTTTCCACTTCCTTACATTTCACACTTTAACCGCTTCCTGACTTGTCGATGTTGCTTACGCCCCTTGTGCATCACGTAATAGCTGATTTTCTTCCACGTGTCTCCTTATTTCCTGCTGTTTCCCACTTTTGACTATTTAGCTTCCTTGATCTTCATGCCCACGGTTATGTCTTTACCTTTCGACACATGGAAATGAATTTCTTTATCATGTAACACAACGTGCTTAATTCATCGACATCACATGGAAAGCTCGTGATCTTGGACTTGTCGACGTCACATGTAAGGCTCGTGATCTTGGACTTGTCGACGTCATGTGCAAGGCTCGTGATTTTGGACTTGTCAACCTATCGACATTTCTATGACGTGTTCTGTCGATAACTGCTCCAAATCTTTCCGATGCTTCTGGGCCTAACTCGCGGCCTTTCTCCAGATTCATGCTATGTGGGCCGTGTTTTACGTCCTTTGTGACTTGCAATCGGTCCACTCCCACCAGGGGTAATTTCGGGTGTCAACATTTGGTAAAGCTTACGACGATAGGTCTATTTTTCCTTATTTCTTTAAATTAGATTATCTCCTCTCTTTTTACTCTAGAGTTTTTTTTGTGAACTAATATTCTAGGGTTAGCCTATTGCCGATGGCACTCGTTTCAAAACACAGGCTTAAAGATTCCCCCGCAAGTGGAAACTTGCTTCATTTGCGCTTCCTGGTTCAGAATTCCTTTTTTACATTCGAAAACTACATATTAATTAAATCCATGTTCAATCGTTAATTCAATAACAGCAATCTCTCCAATTCAACAGTGTTTCCCAGTGTACTTTTAACTGTTACTGAAATTATGTCCCGTGGAACACTTCGAAAGAAGAGTTGACCGGCGAGTGAGCTGATTGGATCGTGGCGCAAAAGCATAAACAAGTCGGGTTAAAAGGGACAGTTCGACCAGGTTTTTCACTTGTGGCCCATAAACACCTTTTAATTGCTAATCTAACTCTTTGGGAGGAAACTTAGAACACTTTTAATCCCTGTTTTAATCCCTGTTTTTGGAGCATTATTCATTCGGTACTTCCACAATTTTCATATTAGTCCTTGAAATAAGGGTTTCGCTACCGCTTGGTCTATGTACATGTTAAGAAAATTTGGTTGCTAACGAAGAAACGAGCATTAGTTTATAGTTATTTGATGCATGATGACGATCACTATTCTTAAGGCATTATTTGCCCTTACTACATCAAAATCACGGAGAAATGAGTTTCAGCAATTATTAAATTTCCTTCTTGGAATTTCACCTTAAATGTATTCTCAAACTTGTGTGAGAAAGGAGAATTTGAGTGAACCGGATGCCAATCGAAGCATAGAAAGTTGTTGTCCAACAATTACTTCTTTTCATGTCTGATTCAATATTTTCTCTTAATTATTTATAGATAACAAACTATTCCAAAATCATATGCAACCGACGGACATTCGATGGGACCAGAATGCCAAGATGATTGAAAGTGGCGAGTAGAAGTTGGAGTAGGTGAAGGTGAGAGTAGCGTCCGAATGGAACCTACTGTCCCTTACGTGCACGGAGTCTATGTCTCAGAGGAGCATCATACTTGGGGTCGATGTCAATGCGAGAATCTTCATCTGCAGAGGGTCTAACTTCTCACAGTCAAAGCATTACCATATGGTGCGGGGCAATGAGATCGAGCTCGTTAATTACAGGATAAATGAAGTCATTTGGGGACCCATCATAGCATCATTTGGGACAATAAGATCGATATATTTGTAAGCGGACGTCTAAATATGTAGGTCATATTCAACGCTCGATCGATTTAGAGTTAGTCACGCTACTCATCATAGCGATTTTGCAGACAAATTTTAATATATCACATTATTGAGGATTTAATTGAAGTTCTGTTGGGTTACTTGGTGGCCGCATAAAGTTTTTGCTGGGGATGGATCTTGTAATGCAAAGTCCAAATCATGAAAGCAAAGGTCCTTGTTCTCCTTTGGACACACAAACTAAAAGTTTTTTTTTTTTTTTGGTAACCCAGGGAACCCCCGCACGGCCGACAGCCGGGGGGTAAACCCTGGGGGCGACACGTGCTAGCCACCACACACGTGCCACCGGTTAAGTCACCCTGCGGCACTCGGAATTCGAACGTTCAACCTTTTGCGAGAGAAAGAGTGCCCGCTCTAGGGACGCCACCCAGGCGGGTGATCCACACAAACTAAAAGTTCATCTGCCTTTAAGTTGAAAATTGAGTGTCAGGAGAGAAAGATGCAAATCATTCTCAGTTTCCACAATTATCTTAACTACAGTCTACAGATAAGAACAAAGTCTATATATGTGTGTATGAGTGAAGTCGTCGTACGATATGCCTATAATCAAGTAAAAGACAGCGAATTAATTAGTAGCAAGCTTCCAACCAAAAAAAAATTAGTAGCAAGCAATTTAATGAGACAATGCTATGAACTGCAATATATACATGGGAAAGATTAAACTGGGAAAGGCTCATAGAATTCAATTTAATCACCTTGTTCGTTCATATATAAAGAAAATGGAAAGACGACCATAGTTGACCTTGTTCGTTCTTATATAAAGAAAAGGAAAAGGTGACTAACATTGATAACCCTAAGATTAAATGTACACTAGAAGTTCCAAATATTTTGTACGGCACTCGGTTTGGTGCCACACCTTTTCAGTCACTCATCAAAATTCCTTAACTTTCAAAAACCTTCCATTTAAGTCACATCGACCCTTGCTCGTCTGCAAAGCTGACAAGGCATTATCATAAAAAGTTATGTAGGATCGAGTTTATCGTTAAAATAATGTCACGTTATCGTTTCTAGCGGATCAAATAATCAATGTGATTGAAATGAATGAAATTCCAAAGTTAAGGAAGTTAAACGAGAAACCAAAATCTAATGGCGGTAAATTGATCCGCGTACAAGATACTTAAAATTTCTAGTGTAACTTTTTCCCTAGTAGGGTTCGACGATTTGAGGATTGACTAGTATGAATAAAAAGCCACAGGCAGTAATATGAACCCGAAGAACGTCATAATGAGGATACAAAGGTCGATAGAAAGGCTATGCCATACGCATGATGCACCATGAAAGTGACTCTTTGGTTTTTCATTTGGGTTGGCATATTCTTGGCCTGGCTGGTCTATAAAAAGGTCGTAGGGTACTGATCGTCGTTTGCCTTTTTAAATACGACAGAGGCACACACATCAAAGAGAGAGAGACAGAGAGACAGTGAGAGGGAGAGGGAGAGGATGGGGAGGAGTCCATGTTGCTCCAAGGAAGGGCTGAACAGAGGAGCATGGACTGCCTTGGAAGACAAGATCCTTACTTCCTACATCAAAGCCCACGGCGAGGGCAAATGGAGGAACCTCCCCAAACGAGCTGGTACTTCATCATTTCGTCCACTGTTGTCATCTGTGCTCTGTGGGATCTCAGTTTTCTTGAGCTAATCATCGTAGACCCTTTTCAGAACGGTGGTTTTGTGTACTTTCTGTATTTCCTTGTTCATCAATTCAGTTTTTAAAGTGAAATGAACTCCTCACAAGAAAGAGAGAAAAAAAATGGTGCAGGTTTGAAGAGGTGTGGCAAGAGTTGTAGACTGAGATGGCTGAATTATCTCAGACCAGACATCAAGAGAGGTAACATCTCTGTTGATGAAGAAGAACTCATCGTCAGGCTCCACAAGCTTCTTGGTAACAGGTCTCTCTCTCTCTCTCTCTCTCTCTCTCTCTCTCTCTCTCTCTCTCTCTCTCTCTCTCTCTCTCTCAAAATGCTGAGTATACTAAGAATTGTCTACAAAGTCATGGCAGTCTTTTATTCGGTATTGAATATGACCTACTTAATTAACTACCCACTTGCTGTTTGCAACGTTAAGTAGACCAATCTTTATAGAGAAAGAATTGTTCTTTTATAGCACAGTTCCGGAGTCTCATATACATAATTATTGCTTCTCGATCAAACTCAGATGGTCTCTAATAGCCGGAAGGCTACCGGGGCGAACAGACAATGAAATCAAGAACTACTGGAACACAACCCTTGGCAAGAAACTTGCTAAAGCTGATCGCTCATCTTCCTCTCCACCATCATCGAAAGACATCAATCATCCCTCATTCAAATCAAGATCCAAGAGACCAGTCTCCAAGTTGAGCTGCTCATTATCCGCAAAAGCAACTCGGCCCCAAGTCACCAGATACAAGCCGTTGGAGTGCACCAAGGTCCTAGCCTCAGCAGGCTCATCACTTCCAAACAAAAACCAATCCCTCTACTCAATAACCCCAGAATATTCACCGTTCCAAGCCAATTATTGTCCAAATGGGAGCGCTAGTGAACTGGGGCAAGATTCAGAAAATCCTAGAACTCATCATGTTCACTGTGGCACTCATGATGACCACCTTCAAGAGAACTGTGTTGGAGATTTTGGGCTTATAAACTTCGGCTATGGTAATGAGTTTAACACGGCCAATATTATGTGCGCCGACCAGCCTTTGATCGTGGAACAAGAAATGCTGGAGAACTGGACAAGTGTTTGTGTAGAAGAAAAGGACACCTTGGATCTTGATTCCTTGGCATATCTGCTAAATTCCGAGGAATGGCCATGAAGAGGGAGAATTGAAGAAAAACCAAAGAAGATTGTACCTAATCATGGCATATTATAAGAGATATTTTAAATGATTGTCGCTTGAGCAACATGGGACTTCCCAAATTTTGTATGGAAGTTTGTATAAAAATAATAGCATAAAGTGAGCTCATTTTGCCACTTGCAAAATCTTAATTGTCGTATGCACTTTGGGCGTCATGTGTCACTACAATGAGCTCAGTGGTCGCTAGCTACCTACATCCTTGTTTCCTTTTGCTCTCTAGAGCTCACCAGGCACACATGCAATGTTGTCTCATGTGCCTTCAAAATAAGATTTCGAAAGCGTCCTTACCCCTGCAATTCTTATCTTTTCTTTCCCCTTGCTAGTGGGAGTTACTTATATCTACTTACGAATGCAAATGGCAGATGATGAGCTCTTTTATCATTTTTCCGAGAAGGTGATTATTGTAAAGTTCGATTCCCGGTGTGCATGTTAATGAAGTCTAGTCACGTCTTGCTTCTTGGCTTCAAGTTGGGTATTGATAGTCTCGAGAAATCGAGTTAACCGGTGACCTAATCGAATCCATCAGAGTCGTCCTCCAAAGCATGCCAACTGCTCTTAGAATATTCAGCACAAACATGTGCAAAAAAGAACAGTTGATGGGTGAAGATACGAAATTGGGACAGCATGCGATATCATCTCGCCCGTGGAATATACCGTTAGCCTTGTTAGCCCCCATCATGTCGGCTTACGAACACATAGGTGTCGGGAGACCGGAACAAATGCTTGAGAAGTTTGAAAACTTTCACGCGGTGGGACAAACGATATTGGCTTCATCAATGAATTATTGGCAGGGTTTGAAGAAATGATGAATGATGACCGGTGGGACCAGAAGGCCTTATAGCTTGCCAACTGTGCCGTGCATTCATAGACAAGCCATATACATATAAAAGAGAAATAATCTAGAATGGATGACCTATGGATGAATTGAAATTCTTCTATTGACAATTAGTTTAGTCAGACATGGACCAGCTAGACCTTCAGAATCTTAGCCACTATTAAATTGAGCATCTTATAATACATTCATCTCCGCAAATTTTGCATGATAAGGTCATAAAAAAGGAGGAGGCCGGGGGGGAGGGGAGAGGGGGTGGATGGGGGGGATGGGGGGTGGTGTACCACCATGATAATAAGGATGATCCACAATATATCAATTTTCTAAGTAACGTAATTTCTCGTGGTTTCTCTTTTTTGTTCTACTAGGGTCCGTTAGACCATCAACTGATCGAGTCAATTAGTGCCTTTGACGTTTCCAACTTTGAATCATGGATGAGGATGAGCAGATTTGCATTCTTTCTTAGCTTTTGATGTGGTAGTAGGTGGCCAGAGAAATCTCCCCATGTAAATGGACCATTAGCCGGGCACTTCGCCTACCCAAATATTGATTTAAACCAAACTCAAACTTTAATAATCATGGTCCACAATCTCTTAATTTATTCTCAATAAGCTCTCGTGAACACTTATTATTGTCAAACATGTTACATACAAAGAGACGTATTTGGAAGTATTGGCCACCTTGCACAAAACAGATCTTTGAAGTTCCATTTTTCAAACAAAAATCCATTTCGGCCCATAACGGAAAAAAGAGTATGAACTCGCATATTTTGAGATTGACTCGGTGATAAGAGCGTTCCTATACTTTCAACTCGCGACTCCATGATTGTGGGTCGATTCGTGCCCTCAGAAACTAGGATTTAAATGGGGCGCCATGGCGTTGGACCCTATCGACTAATTAATGTTTAGTAACGTTTCTGTTTCTTTGTTTTTCTGTTCTTTTGTTCCCCGGAACAGAAAAAAAACATAAATCCGTTTAGTAAACAAAATCTATTTTTTTATTTCTGGAACAAAAAAGTGATCCTGAAATAGATTTGGAACAGAAACAAGAAGCAAAAAAAATCTGCTTCTTGTTTCTGAAACAAGAAAAAAGAAACGATTTTTTTTCTAGGATCCTCCAAAAACAAGAAACAATCCATCGGCCGCAACCCGCCCACCGCCACCTCTCGCCGTCCTTCGCCGCCACCTACCGCCCGCCTTCCGCCGCCGCCCGCCGGCCGACGTCCGCCGACCGCCTCCCGCCCGCTAGCCGCCTCTTATCGTCGACCACTGTTCTCCGCCGCTCGACGCTTGTCGCCACCCGCCACCAGCCGCTGTCCTCCACCGCTGGCCGCCATGCTCCATCGCCCGACGCCGGCCGCCACCCGGCGCTGGCCGCCTCCCCCAGCCAACCACCCGACGCTGGCGATCACCTACCACCGGTCACTGTCCTCCGCCGCCGCCGGCCACCCACCACCGGCAGCCATCCTCCGCCGTCGGCCATTGTGCTCCACCGCCCGACGCCGGCCACCTCCCGCCCCTGGCCACCGGACGCCGGCGGTCACCCACCCTCGGCCGCCATCCTTCGCCACCGGCCGCCATGCTCCATCGACCGACGATGGCCACCCTCCGCCGCCAGCCACCTCCCGCTGTAGCCCCCCGCTGCCGTCACCGCCGCCCGATGCCACCGTGCTCCACCACTAACCGCCGTGCTTCACTGCCTCCCGCCGCCGGCCGCCATCCTCTGCCGCTGCCGCCGACCACCGTCCTCCGCCCCCCACCGCCACCCGCCGTCCTCCGCCAGTAGCCCAGAAGGGAGAAACTCGTCTATGTAATAGAAATGGATCATTCGCGGCCTAAATGCGTTTCTATTCTTTTTCTATTCCAGGAATAGAAATTTTGTGCAGTTACTAAACGCTATTTTTTGCTAAGAAACTGTTCTAAGAAATAAAAATAGAAAAAACTATTTCTGATCAAAAATTGTTTCTGGGAATAGAAACGTTGCTATGATGACCCTTAGTACCTTCTACATTTCCAACTTTGAAGCATGGGTGAGCATGAGGAGAATTGTATTCTGAGCTTTTGATGCGGTAGTAGGTAGCCAGAGCAATCTCCCCATGGAAATTGACCACTAGTCGGGCACTTAGCCTACCCAGATATTGATTTAAACCAAACTCAAACTTTAATAATCATGGTCCACAATCTCTTGAATTATTCTCAATAAGCTTTCGTGAACGCTTATTATTGTCAAGCGTCTAAAATACAAAGAGAAGTATTTGGAAGTATTAACCACCTTGTATGAAACTGATCTTAGAAGTTCCATTTTTCAAACGAAAACCCATATCAACCCGGAACGGAAAAAAGAATATAAACTCGCATATTTTGAGATAGATTCGGTGGTAAGAGCATCATGTACTTTCGACTAAGGACTCCATGGTTGTGGGTCAATTCCTGCCTCGAGAAACTCATATTTAAGCGGGGCGCCACGGTATTGGGACTTCTATCAACTAATTATAATTGTACCCTTAAATTACAGAAAAATGATATAAACTCGAGTAATTAGTCTAACTAATGAGGAAATTCATTAAGTAGGGTCTTCCTTTTGATGGGGCCAGCGAGACGGATTTCATCGAACGCGAAACCGTTTTATGAGCAGTCCACTTATGAAACTTTCATTATTGGATTAGCCACACGTGATTATAAATATCTTAATCGCGGTTGCTATGGTAATTTGATCTATCGGGTGATATACTGAATTATTTTAGAATCGCTTTCCTGAATTCACGTACGGATACGCAGAGGGACACGTGTGCACAGGTATTAAATGACGAAAGGAAGCTAACGAAGGGGAAAGAGCGACTACGTGCGACAAGAGAAGAGTTAGGTCAATTTTATGCAACAGAAATTAGGGTTTCTCTCTTTTCTCACATGCAACTGTAGTGGGAAAAGGGGGAAAACACTGCATGGTTTTGCAAAAGCCGTGGCATGGGTTCTCATCACCTTTTGCTGGTGCACGATCCATCCAACTTTTGAAAAACTGCTAGTTTTGTCACACAATTTGAAACGTACATAATGTCACATCTTGATGATCTACATTTTTGCAGTGATTGATTTCATGATCGAAGTCGATAGGATGACAAACAAATTTTTCTTCGATAAGAACTCAATTGATATACAAATTCATCGCTGATATAATGACTTCACAAGTTCACAATTAATATGATAACTCACGCGAAATTTATTGAAATCGCACATAATTAATTGTCCTTGCAAATCAACGCCATATCGTTCCTTTTTGGTACAAAATTTCCTGCTCGAACAATTTCGTCAGAGTTACTAAAAAGTTCAATAATATCTAATCAACAAAGAGGAAAATGTCAATGAGACAGGGACAGTCAATAAATGATGAGTGGTTATAATTGCTTCAAGAGTACTGACAAGAGAAATTTTGGAAGTACCTATAGTGTTTTCATTAGATATTAGGGCGAAAAATATATTTGCTTATGCAACACCTAATTGCAAAAAATCATCTCTTATTGTTCTTTGATTTTATTTTGGTTATAATACTTTGAAATTATCTAATGAAATCCAAATGATAATATTCGACCTTTCATCATCACGTTATGTTTAGAAGAGGTCGTGTTCATGTTTTTAATGTTGCCATAGCCCTGCTAATAATGATGTTTCGTGTGTATATATTTATTATTTTGTCTAAATACAGCGATAAGGCTCTTACTTTTGCATAAATTAGTTCTTCTATATTGAATTGGCTTTTTCTTATGAAATTTGTTCACTTTATCAGATTAAGGTAAAAAAGAATTAATCTGATAAAAACATAACTTTTCTTGATCGAATTGTTGATAATTTATTAATTTTCTTATTTAGCAGAAAAACTATCAATTTCCTTTACAAAAATCAGTATACTTTTCAATGGATTCATAAGAAATTCTTGTTATGTGAGTATATATATACGTATATATATTTTAAATTCACTTTAAAAACATCCATCCTTCTTTGTAATTTAATTTTATTAAATCAATGTACTCTTAAATCATTTTACCTTGTTATTTCCTTATACAATATGACATTAAGTATATATTGATATTAACAAATGTCTTGAATAATTATATTTTTATTTTGCAATAGACAAAGTTAAAATTGTTAGGAATCACACACCAATTCCAGAAAAAATAACACATGCAAACAATCAACACATGCAAAATATGATAATAAAATAACAGAATTGAAAGAACACATCAAAAAATCTATTATCAAAGTTCACCCAAACTTGGGCTACGTTTCCGCATAGAGGCAC